AAAAAAAAAAAAAAAAAACTGGAAAACAGAATTCCCACAAAAACCTAAAGAAAATCAATTCCTCAATTGCCAAGAAAACAGGCGCGTGGCTGCTGGGAGAGGAAAACAATTTCTGGGGAAAATAAAGCATATCAAACACTACAAATGTAACTTTTCCATTTTCCATGGAAAATGAGCTCAATCAAACGGGGCCTAAATTTTTATGAGTTTTATACGTTTAAAAATATAAGAATTTACGATTAAAAACACATCTTGTAAAATATTTTTTTAGTTTTACTTAGTTTTAATGATTAATAAAATGTACTCATCAAAAGTTTGACGATTGCAATGACTCTATTGTGTTTTACTTTGCTATACGTTCAAGCTTAACATGCAGGGCCATAAACACTTTATGCACATTTCCTTCATACGATATCATGTGCAAGTTCTACTGAATTTACTTGTGAAAAGTTGACGACTCAATTTAATCATCAAAATCTTCTTGCAAACTATAGTTTACGGAGAGAATGAACCACCATAAGGTACAAGGGTTTGAAAAGTTAGAATTTAGAATCAAGGTATACAAAATTAACCTCTTTTTTTTTCTTTAATAGCAACATACTCAAAACCCACGGGAATTAATCCAAATAAAAAACCCACTGTTGACATACAAAAATGAGGCTCAATTAAATGGTCCAAGAAATGAGGCCCAATTAGNTACAAAAATGAGGCTCAATTAAATGGTCCAAGAAATGAGGCCCAATTAGGGAATTTGAGGGATAGGCCCAAATGAGACCATTGTAAAATATAGTGGAGGCCCATAAACGGAGGACTATCATTGCCCAAGTCTGCAGGCCGCCCAGGATCAAAGCGAATGAAGTACCTTATTGTCGCTCAGAGCGCCGGTCCTATTCTCGCCCAAGCCTTCGAGACGCCAAAGATCTGAGCCAACATAGCGTCCTGTTGTTATTTAAAGCGACGGTTATTGAAGCAGTTATTGAGCAATCTTATCATGTTTCACGATCCAAATATCTCGGTTGCAATAGCAATAGCGGCAGTTTAAAAACGGCGGTTCCCTCGACACGTTGCCACTATGAAGCATGTGGGTAGTTATAAAGTGACAAGCAGTTTCCAAACGGTTTTACAAGGAAAACTGGCAAAGGAATATAAAAGAAAAAAGAAAACATAGAAGGAAGGACCCCGGATCAATCACTCTCAAACAGAGAATTATGTAATTTCATTTCGTTTAGTTCTTATTGTCAACTTTCAAATTATTTTGTGCATTTGTGCCCCTTGGAGACGTTTTACTTCTTCTTAATTGTAATCTTCATAAATAAAGCACCCCTCATTGGGACTTTGTCTCCAGAGATTTGTTCCTTACACAATCTTCTGAACCATCTTTTAATTGTTAGCGAGGCTCGATAATCCACGCGAAACACCCACATTCAGTTCAACGACAATCGGCTCAAACCAGTGACTTCCACCAACTCAATGTGATACTAAAAAAATCAGGATGATCATATCACTACAATCAACTTAATCAGAAAATGTTTACTTATAGTTGACAAGAATATCATAGGGCCAAAAATGATGTTACATGTCTTCAACAAAACCCTGAAAGGTGTAACAAGATCAGAAAATGTTTACTTATTGTTGACAAGATTATCATAGGGCCAAAAATGATGTTACATGTCTTCTACAAAACCCTGAAAGGTGTAACAAGTTTACCACAATGACTAGGAGTTAGGACATGGATTCTCTCAATCCCTACAAGTGCGTACAAACAGAGGTCGTTCTCATTTACAATACTGCGATTCATAAACTACAAGAAAAAGGAATTCAAAATTCTCAAGTTTGTATCATGTTGTAGTTTAGTCGACTTGAGACAAACCTTTGGAAACTCGAGCACAAGGTTGTAGGCCCTCTAACCGTGCTTCCAGCAACTTTTCCTGCAAAGTATTCGGTTTGAAGCTTCGACCCCATCTCGAGAAAGGTTCCAACATGTTGGGATCTGCAGCTTTTACCTCAGATGTCCATTTTAGAACTGGACTAGGACCAGTAAATGTAGACAGATCAAAAGAACTTGCTGTATAGTCATTTCCATTACGAAGTTTCTTACCTTCAGATGCCAAAGAAGGATTCCTGATTAAGTTAGTTGGCAAATTATTGGTCGTTTCGTCTTGGTTTTCTTTTGCCAGTTCCTCATTCACGGAATGGTGATTGCGCATGACTTGTTCTTCCGACTGAATCTGCCGTCTAGATGGATCAGAACCCTTAACTTCTTGAGACACTGCCTTTTTCTTTTTGGGTTTTGATTTTGCTGTTTCTATCGAAAGACTATCCAAAATGATTGATGCTGGTTCCTTGGCGCCATCATTTCCTTGCTTCAAACTCAACCCTTTATTCAATTGAGATTCCAAAGAACGCCTGCATGAGTTACTTTCCCTTGGCTTTTCTGAGGATATAAAATCATTTATTTCAGAATTCCCAGATTGTTTTGCTCGAAGAAAAGTTACGATTTCACATCTTAACTTGTCCACAACCGATGGTTTTCCTGCAACATCACGAGCATCTGCCAACTTAATCTGCATTCGTTCATCTAACCAAGCTTCAGAAATATGAAGAATCAAGCCATCATTCCCTTCCCTTCCAATTTGATTCTCATGAGATTTCTGCCTCAACAACCGTATCTCTTGTTCATAATCTCTTATTCCTTTTGCAAACTCATCACACAGATCTTCTAGCAATATCCGCGCTATTCTCTCCTGTTTAAGTTCATTCAAAGCAGTAGAGAACAAAGATTTCACTTCTGAAAGTTCCCCAGATAGCTTGTAATGAAGATTTTCCGAATGCTTTCTTAATTTTCTTTTATCCTCTAACTCGTGCCCAATCGACTCAAATGCATCTTTCATTTGTTGTTGCTCCTTGTATTTCCTAGCAACTTTATCTTCAGTTATTTCCTTCATCAACTCAGCAATTTCCTGTTGATCTCTTTTCTTCTCTTGCAGTAATTCTTTAACCTTTACATTCGAGTGATCCAGTTCCCTTTTCAATGTTTTTATTAACGACATATTTAATTCATGCTTTTCTTCAAGTTTCCAAATCCTATTGAGTACTTTAAGTAACTCTGTGGATGTTTGGAGGCTGTAACTTGGCACGCCAAATTTACCCTTAGAGTCCAAAGAACTACTTGGGGAATGGGTCGGTCTGTACGAAGGCATCTGTCAAGAGCAAATGAAGAGATTTTTATTTGAATCAGTACAAAAAAATAAAGAGCATTGTTATTTCACGTCCTTGCCAACTTCTTTTCTGAATCTCCATTCATTTCACGTAAATAAAACATCACATTAGGAATTGAACGTGTGGAGCTCTGCAGAAAGTTAAAATACCTCCATCGAGCTACAGTAACTAGCAGGGGATACGGGCTGTTGAACATGGCCGACTCTTTTAAGCCTCGGATTATGTCGTGTAGTTATTGCTGAAACCTGCTTTCTCAAACCACTGCCACTTGTTGCCTGTCAAAATAGAGGGCAGAGATCAGCAATAAAATATCCAGTCTTAAGTCTCGTTGGGCACCTCGTCGCATATAAACTACAAAAACTCAAAACTTTAACAGTCACTGCAAGAATTAACTGTGGAAGGGTGATACCCAAGTAATATCTCCTACTATTAGATGGTTTGCTCGAGAAAGTTTTTAAGTAGCTAGTGAGAATATTGACAAATGCAGAAAGTCCATGGCCCTCAGCCCCACTCCCTTTCTCCTTAAAGCCATTCGAATTCTTGTGGTAAACTACCCCCCATTTCTTCCCGATCATTTTCTTACAAATCACGCAATTAGTTTGAAAACTTTTTTTTTTTCCCAAATATTTTATCTAATCTTAAAACTAAACTACATAATGAAAGGAGCACAAAGTTCCCCTCACTTTAGAATCAAAGAATCTATAGTCGAGATAAAAATTAGACTTCACAAATTCTACAAGCGTTAGAAGCAGAAAATTTAACTTCTACCAAGCCCAACTTATGTGCGTCCCCCAAGTCCAAATATATTTTTGAATTGAACCGTGGTTTTTCCATGTAAAAATGTATCTTAACAATAAGAAGAAGGTGAGTCTAATCGAAAAGTTCATATGATATGAAACTGTAACATTATAACTATGCACATAATCAAAATTATACCAAACTGATAACTGGCAATCGGAAATTCAACTTAGAACATGACCAAATATTGAAGCAACAAATTCCCCAGTGCACGAACGAAGAATATAAAGTATTCTTGTCGACGTTGGATCCACAGTTGGGCTACTATCAACCGCATATCATGGAAGGAGACAAGCCAAAGACAATCTATGTGACAATCAAGCGACCTTACTCAACTGCTACCTAAGGTACCCCAAAATACTCAATCAACGAATAACAAAGTGTCACTTTCCACTACATAAAGCAAAATCATAAAACAAAAAAGCAAGATTCAAATCATTGATATCAATAATTCAAAATCATAAGATGCCCATATTTTTACCTGCTCTGGGGATCTATCAGAGAGTTCAGACAACTGTTTTGAAACCTTAAATTCCTCAATTTTGTGATGATTAGGCTTAGACCCATCTTTGTTCATCTTAAGATTGAGGTGGGGTTGTTCCTCCCAGAGACTGGCACCAAGCTTTCTAGCAGAAAGAGTGGCATTTGGGGGAAAATTGAAATCTTGAACTAGAGAACCATCTGGTTGAACTAACCCAAATTTCCAAGTAGGTGATGGAGTACAATTTCCCTCTCTTTTCCCCACCAAATTTCCGCCTCTAAAATTTTTCATTACAAATTCCTCTCTACTTTTCCTTTCCCTCTCCATTTTTCCTCCCTCTCTCAATTTTCAAATTCCCTTTCGTTCAGAACCCATAAAGCCCTTCTCTCTCCCTCTCTGTTTCTTGAATACTCTAAGAAATACTTTGGTCAAACCGTTGCATACGTGGTATAAAAAGGAACCTCTCTCTCTCTCTCTCTCTCAACGGTTTGATTGCATGCAGACGTGCTTTGTTCCTCAAAAGGGTTGGCTATGAAGGAATAAAATTGAGTAGGTGGGTAGGATTCTAATCATTCTACTGTATATTTGGGGAAACTTAAAAGGTGAAATTAAGGTTTCATCCTCTGTAGTTCATAGGATGCCGTGAAAAATGACACGTGACTCCTGCCGCCGCCGTCCCCAAGGGTGGAGCACCACCACCTGTTTAGGACAATTTTGGCTTTTGCATGATTCTCTGTGGTACCACTTACAATTTGTAGTCAAATGTCTATTTTTCTAATAAGTCGATTTAATTGTGTTCGTGTCACCCCCTTCCTCCCTATTTTCGAACATTGAACGGTTATGAATTTTAAAAATAAAGAATTTATTTATTTCAAGATCGTTGTTTCAAGGAAATAAGAATCAAGATTTAAAAATGAAGAATTTATTTATTTCAAGACCGTTTCAAGGAAATAAGAATCAAAAAAAATTTCTTATAATTCCGTCCTTTCGAAACGAAAAATATTCTTCACGTGCTTCAAGACTATACAAAAACTCAAAGATCAAATCTTATTGATTAAAAATGCAACGAGCTTCTAAAAAATCTTACTTATACATAGATGGCCCATGTTTGAGAAATGTGTTTTAATAGTAATTTTTTGGAGAATATGCAGTTAAAAATATGAATTTTTTTTGAATTTTTGTGTAAAATTATTTTATAGAAGAGAGTGCAGTTGAAAATGAATTTGAAAAAAAAAAATTAAAAATGGAGCTCAAATAAGGCTTAATGGGTAATATTAATAGAGGTTATCCTCGTAGAAATTTCAATATATTTTAGGGTAATTATATTGTCACCACAATTTTTAGTTGATACACCACATTTTAATTATAGTTAAGTTCTCTTTTCTCATTGTAACAATTATTTTAATCTTGTTTTCGTCGAATTCTTATCTTCAACCTTTCATTAATTCGTACTTCTTGTCCTTGATGATGATTTATATTCAAATATTTTATTTTCATGCTTGGAAATTCTTTCGTACTTTTTTTTTATTTACTTTTTAAAAATGTGCTGGAAAAATAAGTTATTTTATGCTATTTCAACATATGTTTGGATGTAAAACTATTATCAAATACAAAATGTATTTAACTAATGAAAAGCTTGATGATAAAAATAATATAGAAAATTGCGAGGGACATAAATACTACAATGAACAAATATTAAAAAATTTTTTTAAACGTAATTAAAATGTGGTGTGTATATAATTACTTTATACTTTATTGACTTTAATATTTGTAAACGAATATTAATGTTGACTTTTATCCTTATGTACCGTGAGTATATAGACTTAATTGAGGAAATTACTAAATTACAAAAGGAATTGAATAGTATACCTAAAGCCTATAGGTAAGTTTACCAAAAAGTATTCTAAAATTTCTTTTATAGATGTTCAAATCATTCTTAATAGACTTTCGGTAAAATCAAACTTAGGGTATTTGATGGATATTACTGAGGAAAGAATGTATTTTACATAATAATATGACGGGAAATATGTAGTTAAAAAGTAATGAACAGTTAATCGATGTGAGGTTGAAAATGAGTTTTAAAAAAATGTATTTTTGAAGAATGCGTATCAAACGGGAGCTGCACATTGATAAAATTTCTATTGATATAAGTAGATTTTTTTTTGTTTTAACATTAAAAGAATAGTTAAAAGTGTATGGAATACATTATACTAATTTTATTATGAAATTAAAACTAAGTTTAGGCAACCCTAATCTAATCCATTTATGCCCCCATAAAGTTTCCAGCTCCATGTTGTATGTAGTGGTAGATAAAGTGTGGTCCATGGTCTAACACATGGTAGCTCTAGTGTGATCAACATCATTTATGTCCCCACCATCCATATAATATAGTGAAAGATCAAGGTTTTTTTTCTAACAAAAAAATGAAAAAGTGTTAATTTTTTACATGGTTGATGAGACCAAACTAAAGACACATTTTATGGACCACCTCGTAATCATGGATCTTGATTGAAATGTTGTCCAAATATTTAATAGCTTCGAGTCTTTTGACATCTAACGTGTTTGATCGAACGTATCAATGTTTGAAAGATATATATTTTATTTTTGGGTTTATGTTTTGCTTAGCCTAGTCAAATTTCGATAAGAAATCGATAAAATTTTAAGATTAATTAAAGTGAATCTATAAATTTGGTAACTAATAGATTTGTTCCTTTGGTATGGTTATCGAATTTTCGAGACCATGTCCACAATTCCACTGATTTAGAAGATATAGATAGAACTTTGAATAGGTGTTTAGATCATATAGGCCCACTAATGCCGACATGACCATTAAACGTTCAGCCTGCTAGCAAGACATACCATTTCAACTAGGTGGCCCATGTCTAGTGGCCTCAGACCCAATTGATATTAGGGAAATTACAAAAAATCAGGTGTTTAATTTTCTAAATTCACAAATCAGGTGTAAAGTTTATTTAATCAAAAATTAGGTTTTAAATTACATTAATAACTAAAACCTAATTTCCAATCCCCTCTCTCATTCATCTCCACAGAACCCTCTCTTCCCACCCTCTCTCTCTCGTCTCTCCCTCCTCGCTCTCATCTCTCTCTCTCTATTGTCCTTCTTCGCTTCGTCGCCGAAGAACACGGCGGAGATGTCGCTGTGAGCAGCGGCGGCACTCCCATACGATCGCTGGTAGACCCTGTTGTGAACGGCAGCGTCGCAATGCTGCAGTCCATCGACGCTACCCTTCGCAGCAGCATCACGCTGATTGATGCTGGCGACTCATCACAGCGCGACGGCGACCGCGACTTTGCGAATGGGCAACTGATACCATTCTTCATCTTTTTTTTTTTTGCGGTTGGGCACGGTTGTGGTGTTGGTGGTGTTGTTTTGGTGGTGTTTGGGAGTTTTAGTATTTTTGTTGGTTGTGCAGGTAGATGTGTTGGTGGCTATGGCGGATCAACGGTGATTTTGGTGAGGTTTGTGGGGTGGTGCATTGTTGGGTGCGTTTGGTGGGGTGGGGGGGGTTTGGCTGTGGTTGTGGTCCTGGTGGCTGTGGTGGTCTCTGTCGATGGTCGTGTAGGTGTTGGAGATGTTGGTTATGTTGGTGAGGTTGTGGATTGGGTATTGTTGGTTTTACAGGTGGAGGTGTCGACTGTGCGGTCTACGATGATGGTGGTGG